ACTGTCCAATACTTTCTTAAACCACTTTTGCACCACTGTACCACATCCCTGGTTTTTCATGGGCCAGTCATCCACGGCAGCTTTGTGGGAAATGGTGTCCAACGTGCAGACGCCCACCGCTGTCTGGAAACTGGTTACGTGATTATTGCAAGAACACGGATAGGTTCCCGCCTTATATTGGAAGAAAGTGTTGTTTTGCCAATTTTCTGGCCCGGTCCAGCCACAGCAAGACAGTTGGAACTGGGTGTAATCCCATGCAATCTCTTTGGCCTGATTGATCTCATCAGTTGGGTTATAGGTCTGGATGAGGCTGATGACGTCCTTGGAGATGTTTTCTTGAATTATCTTCTGTTTGAGGTAGATGAGGATGCCAGGAAATGCGTGGAGGATACAAATGAGTATCAGGAGGGGGATATAGAGGAGCAAAACAAATCGCACTCCATAGAAGAATCCCAGGGCACCCCATAAGGCAAGAAACATGGTGCAAGCCCCAACTGCAATGAAAATGTACACCATGCTGTTGAAGGAGGATATCAGAGACTGCAGAACAGGAATGAAGACCTTTTCGCTGGTCAAAACCCAGATTCCTATACCGACCATTGCGGCTCCCACCATAAAGAAAAAGATGTTGAAGCAACAGAATAAGCACATGAGGATTCGGGAGCAGCATTTTCTCATCGTTGCTTTTTCACAGAACCTTTTGTTTCTTTTCAGAACTCAGAACCTTCAGCGTCAAAGGAAATACACACAGACAAAATAGAATAGCTCAGCTGTATCTCCTGGTGGGCCTGAGCCATAGAACAGCCGCCCTAGACAATGATAGGGTTGTCTCCCAAGGACACTCTAGCCATATCCAGTCTTTATGATCCATCCTTTAGACTCCAACAGAACCCTGTATGGCTGTTGGCTTCAGGAATGTCTCTAGCAGAAAACTAGCGTCTAGATCTTCCTAATGGCATCTTGTGCCTTTCGATTTCTTACTTCAGTCAAAATACCTTATTTTCCCAGATATTGTAACACCCTTTGAGTTCCTAAGTCAGCTTTAAGCCTCTCTCTTAAGGTTCTATGGATGCCTTTGGTACTTAGCGCTTGATTTGGTAATCCTTAAGCCATGTAGAAGACACTACTGTTGAGCAGAGTAGAAAAGTAGGTAAAAAAACACACGCTGTAAAATGAATTGTGGGTTTTTATAGCACGTAATTACAATTTCAGGTTATTAAAAATGAAAACCCTCCCTTATTCTCCTCCTCCTGAGATTAGACTTGTCCCAATCCTGCTGGCCTTTTGCAAGGCATAAAAAAATTGGCTTTGCCATCTAGCCTGGGGCCTTGACAGTATGGATGACCCATTTTGTGGTGGGTTCGAATGTAGTATGTTATGAATGTTCTTGGCTGCTATTTTATGCTACTGATATTGTTTTTTAAATGTCGGTCTTTTTTACTCTGGTTTTATTTTGTTTTTAATTATTAGCCACCCAGAGTCATGTATGCAAGATGGGTGGCCTTATTTATTTATTTATATTTCAAATTTAGATACTGCCCATCTCTCAAAAAAGTGATCTGCCATTA